CCGCCCCAGCCAGCAACGCCCTTTCCCCCCCGGCTGCGGGGCCCTACATGGGCCGGCGCGCGCACCAGCAGCCCGTGCCCCTGGGGCACCAGAATGCCTTGGGCCGGCCCTGGAGCCATCATTACTGATGGACTAAAGTTTATTTTTGTTGGCTAGATAATAGAATGAAAGTCTCAACTAAAAATAAAATACGCATCTAAAATTCTGAAGGGAAAAGTACACTGAGCTAAAAAAATCCAAATACAACTTACAGTAAGTGTCACTTTTTGGCTTTGAATAGACTTATATCAGGAACACAAAGCCAAAGAGTTTATTAAAGAGTAAATCTGATATTAAAATGGAACTCTATAATAATTTTACACACACACACACACACAGTCAATAATGGTGTTTGCAGAATTCTTTCCTCCTACCATTCCCATAGTCACTGTTTACAAGTACTTCTACCAAGGTCAATCTGAATACTTTTATGACAAAATGTAGGATCAGGACATTATCTAGCAAGTTCTTAAAGGATGGTTAAATAGCTTAAGTCCAAAATGTGTTGTATCAGAAATGGTCCTAAACTGAGGTACAGCCACCCAGAATCCTATAGTGTTAGTTTTAATAAAAATCTTGCTGATTACTTTATATCAGGGTTTCCCAACCTATGGGTCAGGACCCAAATATGGGTTGCCATTCCATTTCAAAAGGGTCACCAAGTGTCTTCCCAGGTGGCTCTTCCCCCTGCTTCCCCCATTTTTGAATTGCCTTGGGTCACCAAGTCTTCATGAATTGTCAAAATGGGTCCCCATCTGGAAAAGGTTGGGAACCACTGCTCTATATGAAGCAGTATCGACCTGCATGTCTGTAAAGTTTAATTAAAGGTAAAAAGCATTCACAGCTGACAGACACAACGGTTTAAAGTAATTAGAACAGAAAGCAGCTTATTACATGCATCCATATAGTGAGCAATTTTTACAACTTCAAATTTAATGAAAGAAGTCAACACTAAAATTTAGCTAGCATAAAAATATTGCCTTGTTTGAGTTACTTATTAGGGATGTTAGGAAGCGAGTAATTAGCTAATTGTGTAGTCAGCAGAATTTCTATCAACTACACAATTAGTCTGTAAGAGCTAAGAACTACCCCTGCTGTGGTTCTGCAGCTTAAATGTAATAGAAGCCGGGCTGCCTGCATGCCCGGCTCTTACAACTTTTAAACTGCAGAGCCGCAGTGGGGGTAGCTCCTTCTGAGCACCTTCCCTTATCAACTAATCATGTAGTTCAGTGTTTCCCAATTTTTATTTGGCTTGATAAATGCAGAAGTGGGGGCCAGCAAGTGTACCCCAAAGCCTTATCTACCAGGCTTTGGTATAAAA